CACCTATGGGGAGGATCACGCTATAATGAACTACACTAGGCAGGTAGCATAGGGAGAGAAACATCTAAGAGTCTGAACTACGGGACCACATAGCTAAATAAAAAGGGTTGCAAAAGATCAGGAAAATCTACTTTAACCTCAAGACAAGTGAAATTGTACATGCTTGTTGTATTTAGGCAAAATTTGCTCGTCCCGGATTTCGGTTTTAAGAAGGTCATCCATTTACCATACTTAAATGCAATTATATTATAGGTTATTTCCTTTGTTGACATTCTAAAAAACTGGAGGTGTGACTATGGTCCTTGGGTAGCAATGCTCACCTTTTAACGGCTGCAGCAGACATTTCTGTGTACGTTATTTCCATCTTAACGTACAACGTGAAAAACCAACATCTGTCAAGACAGGCCATACACATTTGCAAAATCAATAAACAACCGTCTCCAAATGTATACCGTATAGAAAAGTAAGTTACTCATGTGAACCATATGTTTTTCACATTGGAAACAATTATTGGAGGCATTTTTGGACATTATTCATCCGTGTCCAATCAAATCTTACTTTCTCAAATCCAATAAAGTTGTATTTTACGGCACAATAGAAACAACACTGATTAGAATTCAAAGAACAGTCTGCTTAGTTCACCAAAATTTTAATCCTACCCAAATGTTTGAATGGCCAGGAGTTCTGGTGGTCTGGCTCCAATGTCAGTTGCCGCACCTATCGTTAATTGCCCGACATTCTTGGCTTTCCATTATATAAATTGCTTCGTTACAAAGCATCCTTTATCGTTGCCAGAATGAAACCCCATTAATAGGAGTTCAGTCCTTGCCAAGTCGCCCCATTTGTTGAACAAAGTACATGTTGAGTTTAAGGTCTCTGGGTTATGTTGCTTTGTATATACTGTGACTTTTTTTTCGGTGGTCTAAAGATTGATTCTTTCCTGGAAAACTGTTTTTAACTGCAATAGGTTACAGACAACCTTGTGTACCTCCAACATATGCAGAGATCAACAAGTTTCACTGTAACATCGAGAAGCAAATGTCAAATATCTATTAGACTCATGGTGCCTATTTAACTTCTTGCCACCAATGTAACGCATATGTGTGGCAGCAAAGAGGTTGGGTTTTAATGGCCATACATATGTTTCCATGGGTAGCAGAGCTTTCTATGCTAAGAGGATGATCCCCAGCACATTGACAGAGCTGTCAGACAGCTCTCAGTCTGTACAGATGATTCAGGAGGTGGCGGTACTGGTTTTTGATCATGTGACCACAAGGACATCCAATCACAGTGGTCAAGTGATCCACCAGTCCTTCCCAGGGAGTACAGACCTATTAAAGGGATACCTGGACTAGGCAGGAAGGGATTAAAAAGGGTGGAATAGTGTTCCATCATTGGTATTAGTGGAAGGAGTAATGCCCCATCATTGGCATCAGTGGGAGCAATCGTGCTCCATTGTTGGTTTCAGTGAGATGAATAGTGGCCCATCCTTGGTGTAGGTGGGAAGAATAATGCCCCATTAATGGTATTAGTGGGAGGAATAGTGCTCCATCAGTGGCTTTAGTGGGAGGACTAATGCCCCGTCATTGGGATTAGTGGGAGGAATTGTGCCTCATTATTGGTATTAGTGGGAGGAATAGTGCCCTATCGTTGGTTTCAGTTTGTGGAATAATGGCCCATCCTTGGTGTCATTGGGAGGAATAGTTCCCCATCTTTGGTATTAGTGGGAGGAATAATGCCCCATCATGGAGATTAGTGGGAGGAATTGTGCCCCATTATTGGTATTAGTGGCAGGAACAGTGCCCCATCATTTGTTTCAGTGGGTGAAATAATGGCCCATCCTTGGTGTCAGTGGGAGGTATAATGCCCCATCTTTGGTATTAGTGGGATGAATAGTTCTCCATTGTTGGAATTAGTAGAAGAAATAATGCTCCATCATTGGTATTAGTGGGAGGAACAGTGCCGCATCATTGGTATTAGTGGGAGGAATAGTACCCCATCATTGGTATTAATGGGAGGAATAGTGCCCCATCATTGTTATTAGTGGGAGGAATAATGCCCCATCATTGGTATCATTGGGAGTAATTGTTAGGAATGGACTTGCCAGTAATGGTGGGACTCACCTGCCTTGTGGGCTGCAGTACCAGGGCTGGCCAGCGGGTGCTCCCAGCAATCAGAGACTCAACCCTGCAGCCAGCCAAACACCTGAAACTGCAGGTGTATTTAAGTGATGGCCAGACCTGCAGTCTTTGCCTTGGTGTGTGTTTTTCCTGGGCCCTGTATCTTGTTCCTACATTCCTGTTCCTGTTCCTGTCTCTGTCTCTGTCTGATTCGTTGCTGACCCTGCCTGATCCGGACCTCTGCTGACTTCTCCTGTTTTATCCCTGGCGTGTGACCCCGACCATTCTCTGCCTGACCCCCCTGTACCTACCTGCCCGATTGTTATTGACCCAGCCTGCCTGACGACGCATGCATTGTATGTATTATCTGTGGGTGGTTGGTTTGGTTCGTTTGCACTGTGTTATGTTTTAGTATTGCACTGCGTTTATGTTTGTATTGTTAGTCTTTAATAAATTATATTGTTTATAACTTATCTGAAGCCTGCGTTTCCCTGCGTCAGTCACATACCTCTGGTCATACCCCGGAGCCCTGACATTACACCAAGGCAAAGACTGCAGGTCTGGCCATCACTTAAATACACCTGCATAAGCAGTTTCAGGTGTTTGGCTGGCTGCAGGGTTGAGTCTCTGATTGCTGGGAGCACCCGCTGGCCAGCCCTGGTACTGCAGCCCACAAGGCAGGTGAGTCCCACCATTACTGGCAAGTCCATTCCTAACAGTAATAGTACTTCATCATTGGAAGTAGTGGGAGGAATAGTGTTCTATCATTGATATCAGTTTGAAAAATAATTGCCCACTCATTGGTAGTAGATGGAGGAATAGTGCTCCATTACTGGTATTAGTGGGAGCAATAATGACCCATCATTGATATTAATGGGAGAAATACTGTCCCATCCTTGGTATCAGTGGGAGGAATAATGAACCATCATTGGTATTAGTGAGAGGAATAGTGCCCCGTTGATGGTATCATTGGGAGCAACAGTGCTCTATCGTTAGTATTAGTTGGAGGAATAGTGCCCCATCATTGGTGTTAGTGGGAGAAATAATGCCCCATCATTGGTGTCAGTAGGAGGAATAGTGCCCCATCATTGGTATCAGTGGGAGGAATAGTGCCCCATCATTGGTATTAGTGGAAGGAATAGTGCCCCATCATTGGTATCAGTGGGAGGAATAGTGTCCCATCATTGGTATCAGTGGAAGGAATAGTGCCCCATCATTGGTGTAAGTGGGAGAAATAGTGCCCCATCATTGGTGTAAGTGGGAGGAATAGTGCCCCATCATTGGTATTAGTGGAAGGAATAGTGCCCCATCATTGGTATCAGTGGGAGGAATAGTCCCTAATAATTGGTATCAGTGGGAGGAATAGTGCCCCATCATTGGTGTAAGTGAGAGGAATAGTGCCCCATTGATGGTATCATTGGGAGCAACAGTGCTCCATTGTTGGTATTAGTGGGAGAAATAGTGCCCCATCATTGGTGTCAGTAGGAGGAATAGTGCCCCATCATTGGTGTCAGTGGGAGGAACAGTGCCCCATCAATGGGAGGAATAGTGCCCCATCACTGGCATCAATAGGATGAATAGTGCCCCTTCTGGATGTCAGAGACAGGATGTATGTCCAACTGTTGATGTCAGTGGGAGGAATAGTACCCCATGGTTGGTGTCAGATTGAGAAGTAGTGCTTCAGATCAGTTGGAGGAAAAATGTGCCATGGGGCTAGAAAAAGGTCTCATTCAGCCTGTGGGCCACACTTTGAAGACCACTGTGGTAGCCTAAAGGATCTGCATGGAGAAAATCCTTTATAAAAGTGTAGAGGAAGCCACAGCAGACCTGAAACAGACCAGGTATAAGAGACACCTACAGCAGAGTAATCCAGAGCAGCAGGGTCAGATTCAGACACCATCCCAGGTCAGGTCCGGAGATACCTCCATAATGTGTGCAGCCACGATTTCCATGAATAACAGCAACATGTTTCACTGTAGCAGCTATTTGAGACAGAAAATCACAATAGAGTGACGCATCGTCTGACTCCCCTACAGCACCAATACCTAGTACTAAATCTTTTTATTTCAAGGTGGCCTTTGAGTGGCAACATGATGGGATATGCTCCGCGCCGCTCACAATTCTGTTCTTTAATTCCAAAACAATTTTGAAAGTTAATTGTCGAAAGAAAGGACATGCTGTGTATTGATATCGGGAACAGTTCCAAGCTCCAAGCTTTCAAACATTAATTAAAAAGACCCATCAGTAATATAAAGCATTTGTACAATAACCTTTTCTGCTCACCTTATCGATTTACGGCTATAAAACCAGTCAGTAGTTGGTCTTACACATGAAAGATTTAGATTTCAGGTGATTACCGCTAACAGCCTTTATGCACTGAAATATAATGTTCTAGTCTATAGAACAACTCATCGGTACGTTGGCTGGAAACATGTCGGCCGGTAAACCCTACAGCAGAAGTTAGCTTGAGCAAACTTAGTTATAAAGAAGTTATTAGAACTTGATTATTGGTAAGCAAAGGGAAAATGCTTCCCACCGTGATGGCATCGAATTGACCTGTTTTTAGAAATATTTCATGAATGTAATCATCAAAGGCCAACTATGGATTCCATGCTCCCCAAACCCCTATTGGCCCTCTTGCCTTTTTTGTCTTCTATTTTCGAATGTTTTTTGGCTGGGCACAAGACACCCACAGGGGCGGACTGACAACTCATGGGGCCCCCCAGGCAATAGGGGATCATGGGGCCCCTGTGTCCTTGCCAAAACTCAAAAAAGTCTATGAAAAAGGTACCAGGGGCATCTCATGGGGCCCCCTACTGACCCCGGGCCCTCGGGCAGTGCCCGAGTTTCCAAATGGTCAGTCCGCCCCTGGACACCCATCATCCTTTTAAGTTTTCTCTCGATGGAGTTCGGTTCTGACTGATGCAGAAAGTGGCAGGACTGACGTAATGACATCAGCACTAGAGATGGACCGGTTTGCTGGATATTTGCTGAACAATTAAAAAAATGCACAAATCACAAACATAAATTTCCCGGCACCCTTATCAACTAGCCTGCAATCTAATGTCCCTGTCTAACAACGCTCATTAACCCCTTGTCCTCCTGAGGATTTACCTCATCCCCCTTCCCTTCCTGACCAGGCCATTTTTATGGCGCTGCATTACTTTAACTGACAATTGCGCGGTCATGCAACACTGCACCCAAATGAAATTTATGTCCTTTTTTTTTTGGACTTTTTTTTCCCACAAATTGAGCTTTCTTTTGGTGGTATTTGATTGCCTCTGCGTTTTTATTTTTTTTGCGCTATAAAAAAAAGGCCAACAGTTTTGAGAAAAAAACTATATTTTTGACTTTTTGCTATTAATCCCTTCACACCTAAGGGTAAAACAAATCTTAAACCTGGCAAAGGCTCTATTACTGTCCACCCAAAAAAAAAAAGTTTGGGTTGTATTTTAACCCCTTCACTCCTAAGTGTAAAACAAATCTAAATCCCTAAGCACAATTTTGCAACGTTGACATGTGTTAGTAAAACCGTCCATATCATCACAACTACTTTGTACATCCAGGTGGATTATACCTTGTTTTTTTCAGGACAAATTGGGCTTTCATTTGGTGGTAAATGGTAATGGATAGCTCCTGATTTTTTTTATTATCAAAGGAAAACTGGCCCAAAATAGTAAAAAAAAAAATCTTTTTTGTTTTAATTTAGTTGTGTGTTTCTTGTTACTACCATAACCTACCACCAAACAACAACCCAAAATAAATTTTCCAGCTCCTGACCATCGCAACAATACCATATATGTGTATGTTATTTGTTGTTTGTACCCGTAGTACAGCCCAAAAACAATAGTGCGCATTTTGTTTTTTGTTTACCTAAAACACACTGACACTAATACCAATTTTAAAAATCATGACCTTTGACCCTGACCTTTTGACCTTGACCTTTGACCCTGACCTTGACCCAGACACTTACCCTGGCACTGAACTAGATCAAACCTTGATCTAGGTATTTTTATTTTCTTTTTTAATATTTATTTATTTATCTTTTGTTTGTTTTTTAACAAAATTTTTTTCTCTCTATGCCAGGAGTTAGAGATATACAATGTATCTCTCTCCTCCATTCATAAAGGGAAAAAAAAAAAAACAAGGGGGCCAGGCTTTACAGTGACTGATCACTGTGATAGCCAATCAGAGGCTATCACCGTGATCATGTGACCTGGAATCGGATGTCCCGGGTCCGATCGTTAGAACGGGACCCAGGGCTCTCAGTGACACCCTGGACTTTGTTCTGGGAGCACACTGTGCGGCGCGCTCCCCAGTACAAACTGCAAAACCAAGAAATAGAGAAGAACTGTGGAATGTAGTCCAATCATCCTGGGCTGGAATACCTGTTCACAGGTGCCAGAAGTTGGGTGACTCCATGCAACACAGATGTACAGCAGTTCTCAGAAACAGTGCTTATACAACTAAATATTAATTAAGTGATTCAAAGGAAAGCAAAATCTTCCAACATTTTTCAGTTTATATAGTGAATGTTTGAGTTTGTAAAGAAGAATACAAACACTGCTATTTTTTTGAACAGTCTAATATTCACGTTTCTTCAATTTTTTTTTAGAGGAACAACACAAATTTGATATATTTTTTCTTCATGTTTTGATTTGGAATAGAATGTGTCGTGTTCCCAATGATTTTGTGTGTATGGAAATAAAAAGCTATTAGAAGGATTTTGAGCTTTATTCACTTTTTTCAGCACACGTACACCCCAACAAATTTGTCAGAAAACCTTTACTTTCCTTTCAGAATCAACATTTTCTATGGAACACTATACTACAAAATACTCCCACAAAGACCGGCCACAAAAAAGTATTTTTCCCAAAAAAATTCATTCAAGACCATGTTCTAAAAATGAATATACCCAATGAAAGTCTTAGGAGCAAAGATAGATTTTAGACAGCAAAATCCTAATGAACAAAAACTCATCTCCTGGTGAGTCTAATTATTCATTAAACAGGTGTCCAGCAGACAGTGGATTATAAAAGGGCTTCACTTAACAAAGAAAACCCCTCCCATTTCATTCCGTCAACAATGGCACCACATGGAAGAGAAATGTCACAAGACCTGAGAAAGAAAATAATTTCTATACACAAGAAAAGCGATTGCTACAAGAAGCTAAGCTTTACTTACCAGTCAGAATACTGTAGCAAAAGTGATGCAAAAATTTAACAAGGTTGGAGCTGCAACCATCTCACAGAGACATCCAGGCTGTCCTCGGAAGTTACCACCTCGACAGGAGCGTCTTCTGATGAGAAGGGTTGAAGAAATTCGCCATGCAAGTTCACTGCAGTTAGCTAAAGAAGTTGAAAGCCAAACTGGGGTGATTGTTTCCCGTGACACAATACTGCATACACTACAAAGGAATGGCATGCATGGGTGTCAGACTTGAAGAAAGCCTCTCCTAAAGCCCATGCACAAAAAAGCCCGCCTAGAATTTGCCAGGGGCCCATGCTGGAAAAGAAGAAGACTACTGGGACTCTGTACTCTGGAATGATGAAACCAAGATAAATGTTTTTGGAACTGATGGCTTCAAAACTGTATGGTGTCGCAAAGGGGAGGAGTACAAAGAAAGATGCATGGTGCGTACTGTGAAACATGGTGGTGGTAGTGGCCTTCTGTGGGGTTGCATGAGTGCTGCTGGTGTTGGGAAGCTGCATTTTATTGATGGTGTCATAAATTCACAGATGTACTTCTCTATATTGAAAGAGAAGATGCTACCATCACTCTGTGCCCTTGGTCGTCGTGCACTTTTCCAACATGACAATGATCCAAAACACACATCTAAGGCCACTGTTGCATTTATGCAGAAGAACTGGGTGAGAGTGATTCAGTGGCCAAGTATGTCTCCTGATCTGAACCCAGTCCAACACCTATGGGGAATTCTGAAGAGACAAGTTGAGCATCACTCTCCATCCAGCATCCAGGCTCTAAAAGAGGTCGTTCTTGAAGAATGGAAAAAGATCGATGTTGCAATATGTCACCAACTTGTTCATTCCATGCCTAGAAGACTCGGTGCTGTCCTCACAAATCATGAAGGTCATACAACATATTAAATGGAGTCGTTTTTGTTGTGGGATGGATTCTTTTTGCATCAACTAATTTGAGTAAAACTGAAGATTTTGTAATCCCAGTTATATTATTAACGTTACTTCCATGTAATGAGCGAAACAAATGTTCTATATAACTGTTTTTTCAAAATTGTGGAAATTCTTCTTGTGTTCGTTGAGATATTGATTAAAATCTTACTTTACAAAAGGGGTGTACTCATTCATGCTGAGCACTGTGTATCAGGGGTCTCCAAACTTTGTAAACAAAGGGCCAGTTTGCTGTCCTTGAGAATTTAGGGGGGCCGGACTAGGGTCAGTGGGTGTAGACAATGCCCTATGTTTGTCAGTCGGAGAACTAGTGCCCCATCATTGGTGTCAATGGAAGAAATTCTGCCCCATTGTTGTCAGTGGGAGGAATAGTGCCCCATCGTTGATGTCATTGGGAAGAATAGTGCACCTTTGTTTGTGTAAGTGTAAGGAATAGTGCCCCATCATTGGTGTCAATGGAAGAAATTCTGCCCTATCATCAGCGTCAGTGTGAGGAATAGTGCCCCATTGTTGGTTTTACTGGGAAGAATAGTTCCCCATCATTGGTATCAGTGGAAGGAATAGTGCTCCATCATTGGTGTCAGTGGGAGGAATAGTGCCCCATCATTGGTGTCAGTGGGGGGAATAGTGCCCCATCTTTGGTGTCAATGGGAGGAATAGTGCCCCATTGTTGGTGTCAATGGGAAGAATAGCGCCCCATTGTTGGTGTAAGTGGGAAGAATAGTTCCCCATTGTTGGTGTCAATGGAAGGAATAGTGCCCCATCATTGGTGTCAGTGGGAGGAATAGTGCCCCATTGGTGTCAGTGGAAGGAATTGTGCCCCATCATCTGTGTTGGTGGGAGGAATAGTGCCTCATTGTTGGTGACAGTGGGAGGAATATTGGCTCATCGTTGGTATCACTGGAAGGAGTTATGCCCCATTGTTGATGTCAGTGGAAGGAATTGTACCCTTTCAATGGTGTCAGTGGAAGGAGTACTGACCCATTATTGGTGTCAGTGACAGAAATTATGCTCCATTGTTGGTGTCAGAGGATAGAATAGTGCACCAAGGGCCAGGTAAATATGAGCAAAGGGCCACATTCGGCCCCCCTGGCCGCAATTTGGAGACCACTGCTGTATGTGTTTAGTTAAGATGAGATCAATTTAGAACACAACCAATAAATATTAAATAAGCGTTAGCATGCCAATGCAATTTTAAAAGTCATTTTATTTATTTATTTTTCATTCAGTAAGGCTCCATTCACACTTGTGCGACTTGTTACGCAACTTTGGACACAAAATCGCATGACGAGTCACATCCCATGTATTTCAGTGGAAGCCGTATAAATCTATAGAGCCTAATGTTGTAGCGACTTTTAAAAAGGTTCCAGCACTACTTTGATGCAAGTTTCACGAGACGTGCGTGCCATAGACTGCAAAGAAAGCTCTCAAAAGTCACGTGAAAGTCGCATCCTAATGTCATCCATGCGTCAGTTGTGCGACAGTCAAAGTCAACGGCCGAAGCCGCCTCCGAGTCGCACCCATCCAAAGCTGTAATAAAGACGTAATGTGAAGTCACAATAAAATTCGCACAACTTTGCAGCCTAAATTCCTGTTTTTTCTGCCCGAATATTTTGTGAGTTGATGACTTCCTGTCCTATCCACCTGTGCTGCCTTCCTATTGGTTACATTATTTCCAGCTCTTAGAACACTCCCCTACAATATTATGGAGATAAGGGGAAAGGGAAGGAGGGGGGGGTGTCTTTGGTTCTCACTTCCTGTCCTAGGTGACAAGGCTTCAAAGACATAGTATGGTGAGTCATCCTAGGACAAGAAGTTTGTTACTTGCAGGATCACCGGCTG